GACCCGGGCAAGTTTCCCACGGAAACAAACAAAAGAAAAGACAAAAGTCAACACAAAATGGAAAAATAAACATGTACCGGTACCAACTCACCTAACCAGGCGTTCCTTCTTCAACTCCATTAGCCAAGAGAAATGAGAAGCTCAAAAATCCTGATCTCCTAAAACCAGAACATTTAGGAATATTTCGCGATCATCAATTATTCCTGTAAACTCGAGCTGCTATCGTGCTCTCTTTTGGGAATGAGTGAGGGAAGTTGCCGAGTCAGGAAGTCGGGAGCGGGGGTTTTGTCTTGTTTACGTCGGCGGATCTTTGTTGAGCTTTAAAGCCAAACGTGACACTGGAAAGTCAGCGCATGTTGACTGGAGACCCGAGAGACAAGAAACAGTAAATGGGTAAACCCGACCCGCGGTTAGAAGTGGATTTCAGCAGAAACGTTGAGCATTGCTTATGAGCTTGATCCAGAGAGTAATTTGAGTTTCTGTCTCACTGTCGTTTTAAATATATATATTTTTATATATTTAGTTTTTAAGATATTTATTTGTTTATCTAATTAATTTATTTAGTTATTCCTCGTATTTATTTTTTTAATACGTAAGATATTTATTTTGTATTTAATCAATTTACTTTAGTTAATTTCTCAATATTTTTAAATAAAATATTTGTAATAAATATTATGTTTTTATTAATTTTTTAGTATAAAATTTACTTTTTATAGTTCAATCATACTTTTTAATAATTTTAAAAATCTTAGTAATATTTTTCACTACATTATAATTGTCTCCTTTGTTTGACTATAATCAAATAATGCAATGTCTACTTTGCGTGATAAAATTTTGTTGCAACTTTAATATTATTTTTGTAATTCAATATTATATATATAATAAGTTGTCGCATTACTATAACTTTTATTTGATTTTTGCATAAATAGTTATAAAAATAAATTTTTGATAAGAATAAAATAACATCAACATAAGTTTTGATCAATTAAGACCAAATAAAATCACAATTGTTTTAGTAGAAACAGTAAGAGAATTTCTCTAAAGGTCAATCCATATTAAAAGTGTATAGGGGATAAATGTGAATCTATTGAATTATATATTTGTACAAAATTTTTATTCTCGATGTATATAGAATTATTTAGATCTTTAATTCTTATTAAGGAAACATAAAGTTGTGTCCCTATGAATGAGATTAAAGAAATCCTCCTTGATAGATGATAAATAAGAGTATTCAAATAAATAGGGTCTGACCTCCATAATCAATTACATATTGCTTGTCTCTCATGCTAGATTTAATCATTTTAAGACATAATGAGGTTAAGTTATCGTATATTAATTAAAACTTGATATAAATTTTATGATATAACTACTTATACTGTCTCTAATAAATTTATTAATTGTAACTTGGTCAGTGTCATCTCTGACTAATATATCCGTATTTAGTTTGAACTAATTTGTTGTAGGAATTTTTCATCCAATCCAATATACATGTATCAACTCATTCATCATAAATTGAAAATCTAATCTTATGTAAAACTTAAGAAATTATAGAGTAATCTTTATAGTCACCCAACATGGAGGAATCTCAACATTTCCATGCGTTTCATAAAGAATGACGTTCTTTTTTCTATATAGACTCTCAACAAATTTTGTATTGTTAGCAAATAAGAGTCCTTTTGACATTGCATTGAAAAATATTAGAAGTAAAAAGAGATATTTGCTAAATTACAAAATAATTTATTTTTATTTTTTTATAACATAATAGTAAGTAGAGTATAAAATTTCAATCTTAATTAGAAAATTAAACTATACCTAAGAGCTCGTACCGATTGGGATTAAATTATTTTTTATCCGGTCTTCGATCTAAGGATGTAAAGATGACTAAAAGAATATACCCAAACCAACCAAATCTTGATTTGGACTGAGATAAAAATCCTAAAATTCAAAAAAATTGTCGTTATCCTCTCGCCTATTATCTCATACATGAGTTGTACATCACTCTCCAGTCTTTTCTCACTCTCTTACTCTCTCACTCTCTTATTTTCTCACAATCACAACTATCTCAATCTTCTCTCTCGAATCTCACTAGTTGACTTCTCCTCGCTAGTGTCGCCACGACTCTCCTCAACCATCACTAATTGTTGTTTCCCTTTATGTCTTTCCTCACTCTCTTCAGTCCTCATGCAACTAGGCTAGCACACAGCCTCACATAACCACGCTCATGGCAGCTTTCTCACTCTGACTCTCATGGCCTCATGCTCTTCGTAGCTCTCCTCATTGCTCTTCTCTTGCTCTCTTTAGTCTTCACGCAACACTCTCATTCTCACGCTCATGGCTTCATGTAACATGCACATGTAATCACACTCACAGGTCCTCCTCTCCGCTATTTGTTTCTCCCTTGTATTGTCTTCAATTAATTAATATTTAGTTTCAAATTTTTAATCGAATCTATTAAAATTGAATAACATAAAGCGTATAACATAGGACAATAACGCTTAAAAAATTTTATTTAGATTTTGCTTTTTTTTTGTTCCCTTCGCTGAATATTGATTCATGATTTATGTATTTATAAATTTTAATTGGTACTTCAATAAATATATTTACTTTATTAATTCATATACAAATTATTTATAATTTAAATTAATTTTTATTTTAAAAAAATAAATGGTTCAATCTACCCGGTCCAAACCGAACTTTAAAAAAAAAAATGATCCAACTGAACCAAATTAACCCAATACGGACCGGGCCTTTGGTCCAAGAGTTGTAAAGTTTCCGGTCTGCTCCAATTCTAATCTAGTCTGGTCTAATTTTGAACAGATGCACACATCAAGTAGTCAGTAGGGTTAATGCATCGGATATGACCATGAGCATCGTTTTGAGTATACATCAAGGAGAAGGAAGAAATGGCTAAATTTTCTATATATTCAATTTCTGAGGTCCTGTAAAAGCAGACTATATTCTGTACAAGGCTGCCCTGTAACATTTGTCCTAAACCAATAACCTGCTCCTCCTAAACATCAATGATCATATAAATGAACCAGCCTCATTTTAACAAACATTTCTTTTCTTTTTTTGTTTTTTGTTTTTTTATGATCAGCAGATACACATACTATGGGCTCTTTGTTTGTCCAGATGAACCAGCAAGGCTTTCAAGCAACTTGATGACTTCTCCTGTATCGTCCAGGTAGTATTTTGCCATGCTCGGTTTCTGGCCAACTGTGCAAGCAAAAACTTCTCCTATGGCAGGCAATGATGGGTTCATAACCGAGCTTGCAATACTCTCGAACATGTCCTCATCCGAACGATCATCTCCAATACACAGCAAAAAGTCTGGTGACTTCTCCCTATATCTCATGGTTGAGATAAGATCCTCCAGTACAGTGCCTTTGCTTACTCCCTGCCATCCACCACAAAACAAAACCAATAAATTATGTTTACTTATCTATTAGTAAGGAATAGAATTCCCCATTGTTCAACAACAAAGGAACATAAGAAACTCATTATAATCCCCTTTTCTCTCCACTAACACAATTCACATTTAATACTGCAATCATCCTGTAGGTTATCCACAATCAACAAAACTGCATACAATTAATTACCTGTGGTTTCACCTCAACTATGTGCTGTCCCCTCTTGACAACCACAGGCTCATTTGCAAGGACACTCTCTAAGTGATCAAGAAGTTCTTTAGCCTGGCATGAACCAAAATGAGGGTCAGCTTCTTGGTGATGCCACACCAGCGCAGTTTCTTTCTGTTCTATGTAAGAACCATCAGTCGTCTCTGTATAAAGCTTCATCACAGGCTCTGCAACCTTCTTCCAATCAAATTAGTAGTCAATGTGCAAGTTTCCCATGGAGAATCCCTACTCCACTTACATAACAACAAAGACAAGGAAATTATCAAAACAAATCAATCACAAAAACCGGAAACAAAAAAAAAAAAGACCAGAAAATTTGAAAGAAAGTTGCAGTAGCATTACTGAGTAAAATAACCATGCTCCGCCGAAATGCCCAATTCCTCACATGGAGAGAACCAATCAGCTAAGGGATCCTTGCCTCTACCACTCACAACAAAAACAATGTTTTTCGGATCACTGCATAAACAATTCAAAACCGAAATAACATTGCTACTTGGCCTTTGGTCCATTGAACCCTGTGGCATCATGGTGCCATCATAGTCCAGCAGGATTAACCGGCTACTTGTCATCTTATACGCAGAGACAATAGGATCCAACATTAGTTTCCTAAAGGTAGGTCCCAAAGCAACAATTCTGAATCCCAAACCAAGCCCCACCGGCCAATACCTCTTGTTGTAATGATCATGACAAGCTCTCTCAAGGTCTTGTTCGAAGCTCCTTGCCCAATAAGCAACATCATGTGAGCTAATGTACTTGTAATGTTTCTCATGACGCAATTGTTTCTCTGCCTCCGACATTTGGATTGCTGTACTCATGGCATCCGCCACAGCATCAACATTCCAGGGATTAACCCGAATTGCCCCACTTAGAGACGGAGAACAACCAATGAATTCAGATACAATAATAACGCTATGCCTTGAAGCACTCTTATCTTCACCGACGCCCAACACTTTGTCAAGAAGAGGGCTGCCCTGTCTGCTCACAGTATACTTGTAAGGCACCAAATTCATGCCGTCCCTAATAGCATTCACCACACAACATTCAGCAATAGCATAGTAAGCAACCTTCT